TTTTCTATATTTGTTATGGATCAGTAGTATGTGAAAGAAAACGTTTTGTATAGTTCTTGATCATTATCATATTCGTTCATTCAGAAACTGTCAGAGATTATTAGAAACGATTAGCTCTGAAATGATCATGAGCCAGGAAAAATATCAGTTTTAAAAAACCAATTTTTTTGGAAAGAAGGAAGCTAAAAAAAGGCAGTTACTATGAAAAAAACATTCTTCCGTTCTTATATCCAAATGATCAACATTCTTCACAAAATATATTGCAAAAGATAATTTTTTATTCTTTATTTAATTTATTATTACATTATTATTATTCTTTATTTAAATTTAATTAATTTAATAATTTAAATTAAATAATAATTTAAAAAATATTTAGTTTTCTTCTGGAGAAAAAATTGGCTAAATTTTTTGTTATTTTTTTTTTATATACATGAAAAAAAGTACTTAAATAACAAGACTAAAGAACAGTACTAATAAAATTTCATTAAATTTATTAAAAATATCTTTTTTTTTACTTCTCAAGTTCATTGAATAACAATGGGATATATATTTCCCTTTGTCACCACGACCTCTGAAAATATAAAAGTAAAAATGAGCAATTTGCGTCGTCATCATCATCAAAAATTGATTCAGGACAGTAATGGATTTGGGAATTTAGAAACTGGGAAGAACTGTCCAAGGCTGAAACTAGGGCCACAAAAAATTTTCATTTCCCAGACATTTTACACTTAGTAGCAGCGTGACTTCGGATATACAATAACTCGACAAAACACAGTGAAATACTCACCCTTTCTCAACATTCAAACTCTCCAAAATAGCAACTATTAGTTCTTCAAGCTCTTTTCCTATCACAACGGATGACATGAGTTTTGGTAATTTCGCTAAAAATTTCGATCACCTCGTTAATACTTGGGTAAGTGCTGGAAAAAGGAACAAAATTAAAAATTTTTAAATTTTTTTTGACGATTCCATACATTTCTAAAATAATGTATGACCACGTGGAAATCAATTGAATTTGGTTATTGTAAGCTGGAACATATAGGAAAAAATTTTTTTTTCATTTTTGCATCGGAATAATAAAAATAAAAGTGAGAATCTGATTTTTTTCAGTGACTCGTAAAATACGTTACATAATTCATTTAATTTTCCTGGTTAAAGTTAAAAATCAATTAATAAAGCCTGCGACTGTCAAAGGCATCGTTTTTTATTGATAGATGATGCCTCTAATTATCCAAGGCGTTGTCATATTGATTTTTTCAATTTTCTAAGACATTTATTTTTTCTTTTTTTTTTAATAAATAACGATTCTTATTATCTATAACTGTAACTAGTTTATTTGAATAAAATATGAAACCTTTTTTTTAATATTTGATTATACAAGACAGATATTATTTTTATTGATTCTAAGTAAATAAAGTTTCGAAGTCTTGGTATTCTTAGTTTTCTGTTTTACTAACTATTTTTAGCAATCTCTTATTTTCTTATTACAGAGAAATAGAATATACAACTCGCCCTTTGCAAGAAAGCGATAAAATTTCATTTGTCGATTAATCTAACGAAAAATGTCCTGCAAAGATGGCTAAACGCGACTAATATGACTGATCCTTAAAATACTTTACAATCTTTGAAAATATTTGTTCGAAAGGACGTTTATGATTAATTACGAATCAAGATTAGCTTTAATAGTTTTAACAATACAGTATATGGCAAATAAAAATAAAATAAAAATAACCAAAAAAAAATAAATCTTTCGTCAGTATGTGAATAGAGGTGAAAGGTCATTATTTTTAAATATTTATAAAGGATAACCGACATTCCCTCTTATATACTTTTATTCAGGTCCTTTATGCTATATTGTCCAAAACGACATTTTTATATAGCCGCATTTTAAACAAAACTTCGTTGTTCGTCAGAACGACAAGAACAATTTGAGTAATTACAACACGAACACTAATCTAAAAAATCATCATCGTTTATCATTATAAAATTATTTTTTATATAAAAAGATAAAATAAATTACCTGAACGATTATCACCACCATCTTCCTTATCTTGATTCGTTTCATTTTCATTTATTCCTTCTACTCCTAAATTATTAAGAGTTAGTGAAAAGCCCGGTGTTGTACGTGGAAAGATCCTTAACGGGGTTGCAAAGTTAAATAAGCGAGGTATCTATGTACATGTACAGCAGACGGGAGCGAAAGCACCCTGTTCAATCTCTGGAATCATACCTCTAAACCTACATTGGTACTTACCGTCATTCATTCTTTTTTTTCTTAAATATATTTTTTTTTCAAATAATCTTTGCATCTTTTTGAAAAAGCTCGTTGACGGTTAACCATTTTTTCGAATAAAATGTTATATTTGCGAAAAAAATTATATCGAATGAAAATTTTTTTTTTTTTTTTGCGACAAAATCGATATCGAATGAATTTTATTTTTTGCGAAAAAATGCTTTTATAACGAAAATGAATTCGATAAGCGGTATTATCTGGAATAATAATATAAATAACTATTTTAAAGTGAATCAGTTACAAGAATGTATTTTCAATGCGTGGGAATAATCGTATCATAATCGGTTTTTTTAGAGAGTTAATTGTACCGATTGCATATACATATATATATATCATATGTATATTATAAAAAAAATAGAAATAATTGAATTTATTTTCTGATTGATTTCATGTAGTATAATATTGTAATTCCAGATGCATTGTATTTTGACGCAGCCTACTAATAAATTTTTGTGATTTTCAAATGTAATACAATCCAAACTCACTAAAATAATCTACTAAATAATATGGCTTTCCGATGTCATCCAATGTGGTACAATTTGGTAATTTTGTATTACTAAAGCTACTTTAACACACATATATATATTTATATTTTCTCGAAAATTTATCAAGTCAAGACTACCATTTTTATGACATAAGTCCTAATTTAAATAAAGTCGACCGAGTGACCTGGATGATTAAACGATCTTATAAATTGACACGCTAGACTTTTTTTACGTTACGCAACTTTAATTTGTAACAAATAAATAATGAGTAAACTAGTCGTCTAGAAAACGAAAAGCATTCCGAAATGAATAATTACAGTAAAAAAAAAATTATTTAAACATTAACTAATACATTTTTTTATATAAAGCAACAAGTGTTCCAGTAGAACGAGTTTTTTTTGGTGGAACCGATCTGGTATCAACCAAAAGAAAGCTAATACAATTTACCTGTATGTGGTTGAAATTCTGGTGGAAAAAGATGTAAAAATAAGAATTAGAATTGCTCACAAAAAAAAATAATAATAAATTTTAAAAATAAAATAAACTTTATATGACACGTTTTTTATTTTCGGCATTAAATATTACCCATGAGAATTCGGGTCGAATCTGGGCTAAAAAATAATCGTGTCGAGTCGAATTCGGGTTCTGTAATTATTAACGGATTCGAGATCGAGTATGCCTTAAAACCAAACCTGACCCGAACCGACCCTTACGGAGCACTAATATTTTGTACTATAATTTAAAACTTATTCTTAGCCATTGTTGGCTTGGTATCTGTAAACTTAAACGATAAACTTTTAATTCAATCCGTTGAATTAAATACAAAACAATATCACAATCACGCCTATATGAAGACACGATAAAAGGCAATAGTAAATGAATTTAACGATTCCTTTATTGAACTCTTGGTTTATCCTAAAACCTCAACTTGAGTT